GCCTGGATAAGGATGAATGAGAAAGAACGAAACATGTGTGCTCTTGAATAATGTACTCGCGCTTGCCATTCAAACTGAAAAAAAGTTTACGGGGAAGAGTGAAAAAACTGGCAAGTATTTGACGTTACTCCATGGAACGTCATGAAAAATGGGAATACTGTAAAGAAATGCCCATAAAAATCTTTAAATCACATTTTCACATTTTCAAAAAAAAAACATACCAAGACTCCAATAATCCTTATCATGAAAGCAGAGATGGGTAAATGAAGTTCGCCTGAGTCGAAACTCGTAAGGCTGATTCCCTATTGGTCAACTCGAATCCAAAGTCAAAATTCAAATTCGGCGCGCGGAGTGCGCAGTAGATCTCGTAAATATTAAAAAAAAAATCTGTAACTCCTCTTACTTCGTTTCATCCCTTTATATTATACCATCCCACTACATACGCATTGTTCTCAAAATTGTCATCGCCATCTCTTTCGTCACTGCGCAAAGCTAAATTATCTTTAGTTTTTCTTTTTGTAAATGTTTTACATATTTACTCTTATTAACAGTTATTGTACATAAATATGGAAATACTTGGCTGATGACTCGGGCGATGGCCAGTTGCAAGTACTTGCAAAAATTTGCAACGAATTCCGTTAAAAATATAAATAAAAAATAGTGCAAGTTTTATTGCAGTCATTGCACGTTTTAGTGGAGCTTGTGAAAAAACAAAATTTTAATATGAAATGCCTTCCAAGAAATGAATCCCACACTCTAGAAATGGATTCTTCTTGTTTAGGTAAGAAACTAGTTTTGAAAATGGGAAATTACTGCGCCTAAGTGTTTGTCCAATTTTTTTTTTACAAACTTTTGAAAAATGTGAATCTTACTTTTCATGAATTTTGACAATACTGCTGTACGCAGAATTTTTAATAATAATTAGTAATAATACCGCAAAACACTGGGGAAATTTTAATTCGATGGAAATTGTTGCGTGCGCAGATGGATCAGCTGCGCTCCAACGGTTCTAGGAAAAGACGTGCGCGCGAAATACAAAACTTTAATGAATAAATTCACAGATGGCCCCGATTAACGTTTATTTTTTTTCAGAACTCAATAAATAATATAAATATTCATTAAACCTACCATTCACAGATTACAACATATCCAATTAATTCGAGAGTGAACTTAAGTGACCTATGACAATTATTCTTTGTCCTGTTGTTGCAAAAAAATAATATTTTTTTCTACACATTTCTTTTGAATTGAGGGCCACAACTTTATTGTCAATTTTTTCTTCGAAAAACTTAGAATCACAACAAAATATCGACGATAAAATATCAGTGACAAAAAAATATTCGTCAGAACATTGAAAACCAAAATTTACGAAGAAACATCTAAAATATTAAAATAAAAAATTGACACATAATTCAAACGTAATGACTAATTTCTCATACATGAAATTAATTTTAAATATAAATAGAGTTAGAATAATCAGTAATTATTTGTTTTCATTATGATTTTTTCTATTACTTTTGGACCTTACCTCGCCTAATAATTAGCCGCGCCCATTCCGTCATTCAATTGCTGAAGGTCAGCTCCGTGATTATCAAATAATTACCGAAAAATAAATAATAGATTTCGACATTACAAGATGCAAGACTGCTGAATCCATCGACTAAATAATTACGTATTTTTCCTTTGTCGAACAAAAGAAATCCCCTCTGATTGTTTTACTTCCACGAAGCCGGATGTTTACTGTTTCTCGATTATTCTTCCCCACCTTCATGATTCCCCCATCGTTTTCTTAAAGCATTACCATTCTTCTCGCGTGACCGAGTACCAAACAAAAAATCACTGTCCAAAGTATCTCCATTCCTCTCCCATTTCCCCTCTTTCTATCCCCTCCTTCCCAAGAAGAGAATTACACCAGCAAAACTCATAAACCCATTGTCCATAAAGAACCAATAAACTCAACCTCCATCTGTCCCACACTCATGGCAAACTTCAATAATATAAATTACCATGAATCAAGAGTCTTTAAATTATATTCAATTACTCAGTGCGAGGTTCAACCCGTTGCAATGAAATCTCAGGTGCTTTGCCATTATAAAATGAGTACGTATTTCCTTGATGCATGCAAAATCTTTTATATATTATTCATCTCAAAAAATAACGGTTACTTTTTACAATCCCTGCTGTGCACATTTGGTATTATTACCATGATTCACGTTTCGTTTTTCTCTGGTGAATCAAGTCGTGTGTTGTTGGTACTGTTAGTTGTAAATGACCACTGATACCTGAAAAAGCAAAACGTTGTACTTCATTTTATTGTGGTATTTTAAATAACAGGATGAGGGGAACAATTATTTTGAATATTTACACCAAACGTCTCGTCATGAACTGGCAATGAAAAATTTTCGTGGTCAAGTTTGTTTGAGAGTAAAAACTTTGACAGTTTATTGACAGTTTATCTGCACAAACAGTTTGTTACTACCAATGATTTGACTATAATCTGCATAAATTTCTAGCTATTGTTCTGATCATTGGTTTGAAAACATGCAACGGTAAACACTTGCTATCAATCATATTTCAAGATTAAGGCTGTCCGCAAGAATTCTCTTCGATATACTGACTACATGACACCTAGTGATCGAATGATTACGAAGTCGCGATAGATATTGCAAATAAAAATAGAAAAACATCAGTATTTTATTATGTACTCAAACAATTTGGTACTGCTGGCATTTAACCAGTCTGCATAAATTTTAGGCCATTGTTCTGACGGTTCATCCGTCAAAAACTCAATTTCCAACTGTAAACATTTACTATCAATCACGTTTTCTGATTTTAGCTTGTCCACAAGAATGTATGTTAATATATGGAATACATGACAGGTAGTTATGACCAAATGGTAAAAAATATGATGCTGACAGAAGTTGAGTAAAAACTTTGATATGCAAACAAGACGTTGAGACAAGTCATTTACTTTCAATCTTCATAATTTCTCCATTGCTCTTTCGCTGTTTCATAATTCAAAAACTTAATTAAAAAATAAAACTAAAAGTAAATTTAAAATTTTATGTCCCGTACGTTTCGATGATTGAATCTTGTACACAGAAATGCCAGTTAAGGATGCTCTTACAAAATAATTTTCAATAATTATTATATGTTTTTTGGGTTTTCTGAATTTTTTAAAAGATTCGAAAATGCGGGGAAATTGTTGCACAATCATGACATTTTGCAAATCATTAAGTGTATTTTTGTGCGTCAAACCGATCAACAATTTGTCGGACAACCAGAAAAACAATAATTTTGGTTTAAAGAGGCGGAATATTTTTAATAATTCATATTCATAGCTGTAGATTGTTATAACAAAGAAATGAGAAATCGTCTGACGAGTTAAATAACATAATGAGTGGAACAATCGCAAATAATAATTATTCAGATAGTGACATCAATAAATCATTAATGGCCCTTAAATTATTGATAAATATTGATATATCCTGTACCTGTAGACGATTTACCGAACGTCCTCCAAACAAAATCGTTTGTCAACCAAATTTTACTGAAAAATGGTAAACAAAAATTGAAATAATTATCGCAAATCCAATTTCTTCGATTAATCCCGTCTCAAAATTTCCTATTATTCAGTTGAGCCGTTTTCAGAAAATCGTGTTTTCAATTTAAAAAAAGTTTACAACTGGTTAATTTTTACGAACTGCCGGAGTAGCTTAATTCTAGATCATGCACTTGTAACTGCATCCTTGAAAGCTTCGATAAAATATTAGTACATGCAGAAAAGAATGTAGCGACAAGTGAGTGGGATCTAGGAAGTAACTCTTGTGGTGGTCGTGGATGGCATGATCTATCGAGGCTTCTCCCGGTTCGTTAGATGCCAGGGTAAATAGTGTTAGTGTGATACACAAACCTGACAGATTAGTTATTCTTTTTTCCAGACTTACCAACCAAACACCCACACAAGCACGGATGATTTAGCAGCATTACGAATCGGCTCGCTGGTCTAGCGAGACGTAGCCTCGAGCTCTTCCTTGGCTTCATTCCCTGGGTTTCCCCCTTTTGGGTGGGTGGAGGAGAAAACGTGTCAATTTTCATCCCACACCCTCTTTACGTAGACAATCCAGCCACCCTTCATTCCATCCACTTTGTGATTTTATTGCACACGTAAATTATGATGCACCACACTCAGGGATTATCTGTCTGGTTTATTATGTTACTAACTCAGAAACAAACACCGGTTTGTTGAATTATTCTGCGTTTTCCATTCGATTTTATCGCGAGGAAATGAGCAAGCAATTTTATAGAACTGTAATTGTCATGTACTTGATTTTCAAATTGCTAATGTTCATTTTATTCTCTCTGTTGCAGGTAAGACATTATTTCCACATCAAGCGTTCACCGTTGATCATTCTGCGATTAGAGATATTAATTTAGACAATCATGAGCGTTCGCGTTGATTGTCCGATGCTGAGAAGATGCTGATAGTTGAAGGTATCCATGATTCAATATGTTCCCTGCGTTCTGATCGATGAGATAAATTCTCCCCGACTCTCTAAAAATAACCCCAATAGCCGATGTAACTCCCTCTTTCTCCTCGAGGAGATCTACGTCTGGGATTCAGCTCGGAGTCACCAGCAAATCAGCCGAGGAACGAGTTCTACAACTAGACGACCTCCACAAGGCAAAATCCAATGGAATTGTGCTCGTTTGCATGCACATGCCACTGACCGTATGCTAAAATGAATTTACCAAGTAGCTGTTGGGCTACTGTAGTACTCCTCCATGCAGTAATCTTGGACCTCCTAATAAAGCCACTCGATCGACCATGCTTATTCTCTCTTTCATTCTCTCTCAGCCATCTGACTCCACTTTCTGATCGTTAGTGTTTATATCCAATTGAAGCCGAGTGCCTTCGTGCATTGACTTCTTTAGAGTCAAACACCATTACCATAAATGACAGTACGAGTCAAAGCCCAGTAAATCTCCAACGCACCCAATTTGGACTATCGACTTTACCTAATGTTGTTTGTGCGCCTCCAATGCAATTATCATCAATCTAGTTTCAGATCTTTAAATAGAATGTTCTTTACATTTTTTTTTTGTTCAATTTTAATGCAGGTCGATTGTTCTTGTGCGCTGATTGATTTTACACGATTCGTTTATTATTCAGAGATTGATTTATTTGGATCATTTGCACTTCGGTTGATATAAGGATCACTTTTTTAATAGTTAATACTCGTCGTTCCTTTTAAATGTTGTCTCTCATTAGCCGGAGATTTTTGTAATCAATCAAAGCGGATGCTCTTAAGAAAGCTGCGTCTTTGACTGAAATGCGCTAACATCAATTATCATTGGTTCATGGTTAACGAATTCGCAGTTAAAGTAAATGATTTGTTAAGCCGAACAAAGGCCTCCGATGAAACAGCGGAGTAGACGAGTGCGGTTATGTTTGTGGAAGAGCATGGGTCAAGGTGGAATAATATTTTATTTATTTTTTTTAAGACCGAAGACCACTGACAGGGATAATACAAAATAAACTAAGGAAATATAACAAGAGGTAAAAAAAGATGAAGTAAAAAAACAAACATTAAAAAAATTAAGAACCGTTTACGGTATTTCTTATTATGAAAGTAGAAATAGAAAAATGAAGTTCGCCGGAGTCGAAATATCTCGAAACGCGTAGGACTAATTCCTCATTGGTCAACTCAAACCGCCAAATTTGAATTCAGCGCACGGCGTGCGCAGTAGATCGCGTCCTTATTATAAAAATAGAAACAGAAAAATGAAGTTCGCCCGAGTCGAAATATCTCGAAACGCGTAGGACTAATTCCTGATTCGTCAACTCAAACCGCCAAATTTAAATTCGGCGCACGGGGTGCGCAGTAGATCGCGTCCTTATTATGAAAATAGAAACAGAAAAATGAAGTTCGCCCGAGTCGAAATATCTCGAAACGCGTAGGACTAATTCCTGATTCGTCAACTCAAACCGCCAAATTCAAATTCGGCGCACGGAGTGCGCAGTAGGTGTCGCATTAATCATAGGTTACAAATTTCATGGTTTTTTAGAGCACGCCGACAGAGTCAACAAAAATATCGACAGAATCACCAATTTCGACAAAATCATTAACTTTATCGCGTGTCTTTTTTGTAATCCAAATCTGTAGCAAAGGTCAACAGAAATCTATTTCTTATAATAATACATTATTATTTAATTTTTTAATAATATTAAATATTTAATAATAATAAATATATTATTATTAATTATATCCAAGTGCAGAGTGCAAAATGACCGGAAGGCTCGTTGTTCTTCCCGAACTTTCGAAGGGAACACCTACAACTACTAAATTAATATTAATAAATTAATAAATTAATTGTTCTATCAGTGTATAATAGCCTTCATAATCCCAAATTTATTATTATTATTTTTTGTTCATTTTATTTTTTACAACCGGCGGTAATGGCTGGCGTGCGGAAGGTGTGAGCTAGATGCTCGTTGATACCAATTTGTTGTTTTTTTAATTTCTCGGTTTCATTGTCGTGCGAAAGTCCAGTAAAAGAGACAACTGTACTTGACCAAAAAGTTTTCTCCTCAGGCAAGGTTTTTCCTTGGTACATAGTCGACTGCGGTACAGGGGGAGATGGGTGGAATAAGTAGTTGTAAAGACCTGCTAGGGAATGGGACTGAAGAAAATTTTAAGAATTTTTTTTCTTCGCAAACGTTCATTATTAATATTTTAAATATTTTAAATTGATCACAAATCAATCGGAATCACTACCGTAGAAGAAAGAAATGACTGTAGCCACGTAAATTGATTAATTAAAAAAAAATTCTCACGTTTCAGATCCATCCATTTATATTTATTTGAGCGACCAACTTTAGTGGGTGAAACCATTAATTTTTCATTATTCTCTTATTATATTTTTGTTTCCTTTAGATAACAATATTTATCTTTCGATTGAAAAACCATGCACGTTATGAAAATTTTATTTTCCGAGCCCTTAAATATCTAATATTTTTAATTTTTTTAATACCTAATATATTCCTTTGAGCTGAGCAAACGCCTCGAGAGTTTATGAGCTTTGTCTCGCTAAATAAAATTCAATGCCACTGCCCTGGAAATATTTCCAACATAATGCAGAATTTTTAGAGTGACATTTACATTTCGGAATAATGCGGTTCTTACTTCAAACACAACTTCCGACTCACTCCAATTTAACATGGACTCTGATCTACTCTAAATTTCCACCAGAATTAATTAACACAACCCGACTAACTAGACCGTCTCTTTGGGTTTTCTGGGTTTACTACCTGGAACATGATACAGAACTCATCAACCCACTCACCTACGTATCTGTCCTGCTTCCACCAGACTGGTCTGGGTCGTTTGATACAAGATGGTCATCACAAACAATTCAGAGGACAATTAACCTCTCTGGTATTCCAGAAATGTACAACTCGTTATAACTCCAATCTGATTTTCTTTTCACAACTGAATTGATCATCAACGTTAGGTCTTGGGGAATAAAATGCATCTCCACTGAGCGAAAAAAAGTTTTTTCAAAAATGCGCTGTATATATGAAATATAATTGTATATATATAAAGACAATAAAAACAAAAATT